TAAGTCTACGTTACGCCGTACGGTGACTAAGTCAGTAAGTGGTGCCCTCCTAAGGCCACTGCTCTGAGTAATTACCCTAGAATCTAGATTATATAATTTCAATAAAAGCTAACTAAAAGTAGACTCTAGAACTAAAAAAATTACGAAAAAGTATCGTAATATTAATCAATGTTGTCCGAAAGGTGACTCAAGATCCAATCTCTAGAATTTGCTCCTACAGTCCTACACTACAGATCTACACTGTAACTGTAGGATTAAAAAAAAAAACGTACAATTTATTTAGAGTAACATCCCTTTGTAATAGCCTATGTAGAAACAAAAGTGAAAACATTTATTTTATTTTTTTCTTTTACAATGAATAAGTCTTGTCTTTGAGTCGAAGCGGCGCCACGGTCACGGAGGTCACCGTCGAAGACAAGTGAGAAGGAGGACAGTAGTTCATGTGGCTACGCAACCCCAGCTGCGACCTAAATATTTAGACACAATCAGCGTAGACATAATCATTGTCCGCTGCTGGTCTATTTAGATTTTGGGGGACAAGAACATCCTTCTTCTCAGTTCTACTCCATCGTTTTACCTGTGAAACACGTTCGATGGGTTCATGATTCGACAGCAGCCTCACACAGCTGTTGTCGTTCCATGTGACAGCCAAAATTTCATTCTTCATATCAAATCTGTAATCATATTCCCCTCTATCTTTTTTCTTCATCTCTTTGTCTGTTGCAATTGGACATTTGTTCATTCTGTTGAATCGAGCTGTTCCTGTTGCTCGGACACCAACATCTTGCAGATATTTCATAAGAGCGAATCCGGTGAAGAAATTGTCAAAGTAAACCTTGTGAGCTTCTGGTGTTTCCAAAATCGAAATCATCTTCAGGACAACAGATGATCCATGTCCCGTCACGGCTGGATCATCTCCGTCTCTTGCTTTGCCTTCATACACTTGTATTTGATAGCAGTAGCCAGTTTCTGAGCAGCAATTCGCCCATTGTTTGAACCCAAACCTTACGGGCTTACCGCGTATGAACTGCTTCAGATAATGGTGTCCGTAGTATCGAACCATTTGTTCATCAATGCTCACATTTTCCGAGAACACGCCATATTGCAGAAACTTCTCGTTCAGTTGGTCGATTATTGGACGAATCTTGAAGAGCTTATCACGTTCCTGTGGTGCAATACTTTCTAACTCAGAGTTGTCGCTGACATGGAGATACCGCTTGATTTCCAGATACCTGTTCCGACTCATGCATTGTCTCACGCATTGGACATCCATGTCCTCATCTTCACACCAGTATAATTGTTCTTGAGGAAGAGAATGATATCCAGTGAAGAGAAGAATTCCAATAAATTTCCTGATGCACTCGTTTTGAAAGTTGGATATCGTGAACGTTTTTCTGCGTGGCATATATAACGGTCTGTTTGACAATATTGGAGACAATTGTGTCATCAAATATCTTCTCGAAACAGTCAACCGGGCTTTTCCCCTGTAGTTCGCAAATGAGGGCACTCCTTCTTCTCTGCACATCATCAGCATTTGGATACACTTTGGAGTAACTGGGTTGTCTCTTCTTCCAATTTGAAGTCAAAGTCGTCATTCTCTTTTTAGAAGGTGGTGGACCTGAATCTGTCATAGCTGTACTCGTTGACGGCGCAGACTGGTCCACTCCTATTGCAGGTTAATTGTTTCCAGTCGCATGTTGAATTTCAACAAATCCGGGAACATCTGATGGTTCCTCATCATCAATTATATTGTCATCAAAATCTTCATTGTCTGACATTTCATCGACCAGTTCTGGAGGAAGTTCAACAATATCTATAGGACCATTATTGTCGTCCTCATTGTCAGAATCGAAGAAGTCATCGGCATTGAGAATATCCTCGATTTCCCTTAGAGAAAGAACCTTTTGTTGGCGAGCCATATACTGCAAAAGACAATATAAAAATGTGGTGAGATTCTACTCGATATCAGTCGTGAGCCCCAGATGAGGCTCGAGGTATTTGTGTCCACTGTTCCCAAGTAAATTACATTGACAACGCAAAAAGTCTACTATAGTATTCTATACTAACCAGGAATGAAGAAAAATTCGCCCTGCTGGAAATAAGCCACGGCGGAAAACGTCTTTTCTGCTGTCAAAAATCACGTTTCTCCTTCATGACAAAAAACGGGGACCTGCGCGCGCAAAAGGGCTCGTGTGCGCAAGTCAGGGCAGGCACGTGATCGCTGTAGGTTTACCATCACTGGCACCATTCTGTTGGATGATGCAACAACCCTGTTTCTATGTCTTGGTCACAGATGGCGTTAGTAGGTGGGTTAAAGTACCTGATCCCGAAATGGGGATCATGGCAGTTAATGGGTTAAGAACTTTAAAAGGAAAGATGTGCTAATATGTTTATATTACGTCATTGTTTATTGTGAATGTTTTGTAAGAAAGTAGGATGTGACGCAAATAAAAAAGATAGTTTTCTATGTCTACTTGTATAAACGCATGTCTCTTCTTATCTTATCGTATATAATACAGACGTTACTTCAAAAAAAGAAGATGATTACGTCCTACATGTCATGCATTCAGTCATGCATATGAAACCAATGACTTAAAGTCTGCCAAGTCACTGGTTTTCCTGGCTAGCTCAGGCAACCCATTCCATGCTCTAATAGCAATAGGGAAGAAGAAGCTTTGTACTAATTTGTCCTAGCATATGGGATGAGAAATGTGCCTTTATCTTTGTGTCTTTCTGAGTATTTTATTAAATTTTGTTTTTGTATTTGAAGATTATTGTTCAGTGTTTTATGTAGAATTGCTACTTTACTTTTGAGTCTTCTTTCCTGAAGGCTTTCAAAATTTAGTGATTTTACTAAAGGTGTTACTCTAGTCAAATGTCTCTGTTATTATTATTGTTATTATTAATTAATAATAATACTAATTTTATCTATAAAGCGCTGTTAACAAACAAAATGTAGGCTCAAGGCGCTGTAACAACATTACAAACACAAACACGACAGCTACAATGACAGTTCATCTAAACAAGTTTTAAACAGATAGGTCTTAATGTTCTTCTTAAAAGTGGTGTAGCATGTTGTCTGTCTGAGATCAATGGGGGAGTGAGCTCCACACCTTTGGTCCGGAACTCACTTCCCATTAATTAATGTCTGCAGTATGTTATTTAATTATCTGTGACAACAGAACACGGTGTCAGATTTGGTGTCTGATTGGTTTAAAGCGCTGGTAACAGCTAATGGTTTCTAAATTGCTAAAAGTACATTTTATTTGTATCAAGTGGTGTCGTTAGTTTATTTTGTTTTAGATCTAGACATAGAATCTATAGGAATATTGGAATTATTCAATCCTCCTAAACCGTTGCCACTAGACGGTCATCTGTCTGAGAGATGGAAAAGATGGAGACAAAGTTTTGAACTGTTTATGGTGGCCACTGAAAAGAATACGAAGCCCGAGCCATCAGTGAAGAAAGCTTAATATTGTTACACCTTTACATCAATATTTTCACTTGGGGAACTTAAAGCCAAGCTAGGAAGCACAGTACATACCATCGCACCACAGCTGATCAAAGCCTATGATTCTAAAGGAAATAATTAATACAATCATATTATCACTGGCATCCTCAGCGAGTGTCATATGCCTGCACGGGAGCCTTTAAGGGCAGACAAAACTCCTATATACCGTACCACATTAAGCTAATGCAATGGGTTCTTCCGGCCATTATGTTACAAAACATTTAGGCCCCTAGTGCTTCACGTAGGCAGTGGTAATACGAAATGGAAATGTTTATAATTCGCTTCACCAGTTTTTAAACTTCTATCGCGGGGAAACCTACCCCGACTTTTCTATGGCAAATGCCGGGAAAGGTTTCCAAAACGTTGAGTAACAAGTCCTAGTTTAAGAGAACCCATTAAGAGCAAATAAATGCAAGCACGTGATCAGTTCAACTTGGCTATCAAGAGTTGATTTAGGCATGCGCATAGACTACTTCCTCAGCATATGGTATGCAAATAAATGCAAAATAATATTTAAAAAAATAGCACAATATGACCAAAAGCGAAAAAAGGTTTTAAATTGGAAAACCGTTTTGGAGGCGAAAAACTGGCTTAAGACAAAAGTTTTAAATATTTCAGAGCCATCGTCTCAGAAGGAGCTAAACATAAACTACTGGTTAGAATTGTCCACACGCAGTAGGTCTTCTTGCGAAGTTAATCTGGAAAGACAAAAGCCTAGCCCTCGGCCACATTTTTATATGTTTGCAAATCTTGGACGCTAACTGCAGAATTAGAGAGGAAAATCCTTACGATAGTCATGGAATTGAGATGCTATTAAACATTATATAAGACATTATAAGAGGATCCTGGGTATCACCTAATGACACCTACATAGACCACACTATAAAAAAACGCAAACAAAAACTGTAGATCGCTGCCGTTCCCGTCTTCCTGCGGGAGGTTCGGGCTAGGCTATAATTATCTTCAAATCTGAAAGAGCACCCAAAACATGTTAAACAAAATAAAAAAAATATCACGAAATCCTCGGGGCTTGCTAAGACTTTAATGTAGGGAAAGCCTAGGTACCAGGAAAAAAAAAGAAGAGGCAGACAGAGGAACCGATTGTAAGAAGACGCGCCTGTCATTGAAAGAGATGCCAAGACATGAAAAAGGGCAATAAATGCTACTTAATGAGAGATGTGGATATATGTATATATATATATATGGATTTAGTCCCCTTATTACGTTTTGACACGTTTTTTTCTCCCACTTTCCATTTTCGGATCATAAGTTTAAATTTTACAGAATTATTCATAGTCAATAACAATACTAGTTACTTTTGTTATAGATAACAGAAAGGGAGATAAACACCGTAATTTTCAGATAAATGGCTTTACTTAGCGGTTCCTTCCCTCAAATAAGCTTTGTTTTTCAAAATTATTCTTTTTTTCTATTGCTTGTTTGTGATCTGTTTAGTAAGCTTTACACCAAAAAAGAAAATTACAAAGAGCTTTTTTGTTTCATTGTTTTTATTAGTTAATGTTTTAAACATACATAATCTTTCTTTTTTGTTCAGGATACCAGATTTTACAATAAACAGACATTGAATATAAATATACATGGAATGCATTAGTTGTTGCATTATGATTTTTAAAAATATACATTTATAATATATAATTGGAAATTGCAGCTTAGATTCAATAACAGTGACTTGTATGTAAAAATATAAAAGAATGCTGACTTCTGTAGCACACAAATTACAGATATTTTTATAACATAGATGTTTGTAATCTTTCAGTCAACAATGTTTAAAATATTGTCATGTTATTAAATACAAAAAAATATTATTTAAATAAAACAAAAGATTGACAATGCAATCACTCAAATTGTTCGTTAGTGAGATATTCAAATTTGCTAATAGGAAAGGCTAACTGATATCCTATGAATAATTTTTCCCCTACATTATGTTGTAATTCTAATTTATAAAAACAGTCTAACAATTAATGTTTGTATTTAAATTAAAAAAAACAGCCCTTGTCTATCTTTTTGTAAATTTAAAGTAGATAAATAATGTCAAGAACAAGAGACTAGCAAAATGTTACGACTTCTTTAATGTTTAGAAGGCATTGTTTGATTACTCAAATCATTAGAGTCATGGCTGTCAGCACATAGAAGAGATAAATGGTTTGTATTCAAAGATAAATGTTCCTGTATCTTGTGCATTGTTACCATAGAAAAACTGTATAAAACACTAGTGTCTCCATGTATGAATTAGATGGAAGCTTGCTAGTATGTTAGCCTATTCCTCTATATTAATTTGTCATAACAAGGACTGCACAGAGAATGGAGTGTCAAGAATTCAATATACATTGTCTAAAAATAAAATAATTGCTAAACTTAATAATGACTGATTAATGAAGTCAATTGCATTGACATAGACTGCTCTAGGGACATAACAAAGAAGAAAAAAGACTCTAGACACGCCATTGGAATTACTGAAAAGCTAAATGGTAGATAAATATAGAAAAAGTTACAGGAGGTTGGCTTACTGTTCCAGACAGGTAGAGGCTATAATGCAGGATGAAATGGTGCTCCATTGCTGATGGAAAGAGATCTGGTGATAGCATAGCTTGCATATAAACATTGTTAGTATATAACCATGCTTTTGAGTGCAAAATAAACAAAGCTTTGTTTTTTAAATGTTAGACATGTATTGCATGTATATATTTTGAATATAAAATGAGTGAATATTATAAGTAAATGTCTTAACCACGGAGCAAGTAGCCAACCAAATAAAATAGAATGTTATTGAAACTGAACTAACTGAAGTCAACTGAGAAAAATGTTATAAGAGTCAATGTTAATGTTGAATGTTGTACTCATAAAGATAAAACAAAAGGAATTATTCTTGTCATAAATAATTAAAACTTTTATAAAGCACTACTTTCATGCTTATGCTCAGAGAGCTATGGTCCAATTTCATTTGTGGACCAGTGGTGGGAGGGGGTATTTGGGGAAGGTTTTCCATGCTGCCTTTTGGCACTCAGTAAACACAACTCTGCGCTCGAGTCGGGTGTGGAACCTCGAGCCCCCTTCATAGGTAGCCAAGCCAAGTTCAAGCTTACTTAGCCTCTCGACCATGCATTCTGCAAAGGTTATGCAAAGTTTTTGTTTCCGGGGGTTATGAAGAAATAGTCATTAATTGTTAGTCTTGTTGAATAATACAAGTGGCTTTGTCATAATCTATGTTAAGAACTAGAGTGACTCCAGGATGCCAGATGAGTTCGATTTGTTTAAATATCAGTTTATATCATTTCATCTCAAGTTGAATTAGTCTATATTGTAATAAAAGCTATATTTAGTTTTGTTCACAAAAGAAGCTTATTCAAGCTATTTCGAGTTTCACATTGATATATATATAGTTGTCTACTAGCAATCTGGTGCTATAAGTCAACAACTGACCACAACAATAAATAAAGCACACACATTTTTTTTTCAAATAAAACTATATCTTCATTCTCAAGCTTAATCTTAATCAGAGGATGAATCTGAAGCCAAATTGAAAAGAAATGTATGCAATGGCTACTCTGCAAGTTTATGCCAAACAGCTTCTTTGTTATAAAACTTAGAAATACTTTGATAATTTACATATTTTTCTTATTACACAAAAATAATAAAAGAAAGTTTGATTGAGACTGATTGAATTCATAATAATCAATTACTCAATGTTTCAGAGTGTGGTTCTTAACAATCATGAAATTTAATCAGAAATTGAGGTGAACATTTTTAGTACATAAAAATAATCCAAACAAATTTTGGTGCTTCTTATAAAAGAATCTGAATACCGTCAAAACCATGACATAGACATAAATTCATGTAAATTACATTCAAATCAATACCAGTTGTAAAATATTAATGGCAGGGTGTGTACAATTTTTAAGGGTGTCACAAGCACAGAACAAATTTTGAACAAATTTGTATATTTCCCCACAAAAAATGATTTTTAAAACCCATTAAAAAAAAATAACGACTATCTAAACATATCTGACATGGATCTAAACTATTGTATATTTTGGAATAGCAAAGCAACTACTGAATTAACTCCTCGTAATATTGCAACAACATTTTCCCAATCTGATTTGAAGTTGGGCGTTTTCGAGGGTCCTGATCCCAGGCTTGCTGTATTAAATCTTTCCAGAACTGTGTTGGGGCATATACCATTGTTAGACTAGGACGCCAGAGAGATTCAATAGCAACCTAAAAAAAAAGTAAAATAGTAGGATGTAATCATCTTCTTTTTTGAAGTAACGTCTGTATTAAATAAGATAAATAGCACACATTGCCTTACAAATGATCGCATTGTAACATTAATCAATTATATTAAATTAATAAATTAATTTTTACTTAATATTACTAAAGCAGTAACTTTTGTTTTCATTTTATTCTATAAAACCTTTAGTAAGTACAATAAAAAAAATTAAGCCTTATTTTATTTATATCACAATTAGTAATTTTCATATATGATAGATAACTATAAACATGTAAGTTTTTGATGCATCCTGTGTACAGAAAATAAGAAATAATCTATGTATTTTAAAAGGTATACAATAATTTTGTTCACTTTTTAAGCCTGAAAAATCAATTTTTAACAATCTTGTATCACAAAGTAATGTTTTACTATTTACTTGGCTACCGGTACTTTATCTTTGAATATATCTTCCTTGACATTGTTTAGTTCTGCTATTTATTTCAAAATTTCTCGAGCCAATCTTCTCCTTTTCCTACATTTTTCTTTAACCTTTAAAACGCGTGTGGTAGTTTAGCCTCTAAACATCAGAATTGTAATTCCATTTCATATGCACTCATTCTAAAACAGCTAAGCACTTTAAGGGTTAAGCTACCTTCTATCACCCTTCACTTTCCTAAATATATTCTTTTTCATCTTTTTGTGTTTAGTTACTTAAAAATAATGTAACCCTGATTTATCATTAAAAATTAAACGAAGAGGAGATTACCCAATCTAGGTTATATTTATTTTAATAAAACGTATTAGTGGTATAAGTGTTGTAATGCATATGACAATTTTTAACTATGTCATCGCCAATGTAAAGATCATAAAGGTATTTCTTTTTTTAATTTTAAAAGCTTGGGGTGTTATGACTAAATATTTATGGCATTATTACCTTCAGGCCACCTTGCATTTCTGTAGATGCATATTTTGCTAGATCTTTCCCATACCACAGCTCCCACATAATCATGGCCAGGCTGTAACAAGAAATATTAACTACTGATAATATATTATAGTCATTATTAGATTTAGTTAGTAAGTAAAAGAATGTGGGCTGAGTGATAAAGTGCTTGTGTTTCTGTACCAACAAAGTGAAGTAGAGTTCCCCCTTTTCAAACCATGCAGTCTATAGGGCTGATGATGTTAAGGTCATCTGTTTTTTTTTAACAACAGTTAACAAGCAGGTTTTCATGTGGCCAGCACAAGGAACAACCACCTTTACTTTCCCCAACTTAAATTCATAGGTACCCATTAGGGTTGGGTGGACTCAAGGGGGGCCCTAAAAATCCCAAAATTCACAATCCCAGTATTCACCTAGATTTGAACCCAGGACCCCAGGTGGTTTGGAAACCACCGCCCCTAAAAAGACTGGGCTTCATGAACTTTCTAGCGTCCTTTAGTCCTCCAAACTCTAGAAATGGGTACCTAACATATGTCGTGAAAGTAAAGGTGGTTGGTTTTGTGTTATTATTCAAGTTAGTAAATGTATTACTTTTGGACATTATGATCTAAAAGAATTGATGATACAAGAATCATCTGTTTCTATGGGTGACAGCTGGAACTCAAACTCAAAATCCCTCAGTTCAGAATCAGGTGATTAAGCATTCGGCCACCATGTCTGTTTAGTTAGCAAAATCCTGGCTATAATTTTTAACAGTACAATATTGATTAAAAAAAACTACAGTAAAAGTTTTTTTTCACCTGTAAATGTCAGCCTTGGTATCATACTTGTCTGTAAGTAGTAAGATTTCAGGTCCCATGTAGACTGGTGTACCAATACACACTGTGAGAATGTCCTTGACTTTTTTGGCCAAACCAAAGTCTGCTATTTTCACAATGCCCTCAGCAGTAAGCTATAGCCACAAAAGATTTTAAAATGTTTGAGTGTGATTCATACAGTATGTCAATGTTTCTGTATATCAGTATAGCAATTAATGCTTTGTTTATATATGACATTGGTCAGTGCATTGTCATTAAACCTACAGAGTCTGGAAATGGGATAGGATAGAAATACAAAAGAGAAGGGAAAGAAAATATTTTTCTTTTACTAGATCCAAACCAAATATTTAGATCCAAACCAAATATTTAGATCCAAACCAAATATTTAGATCCACATGTTCCTTCAGAATTGAAGATCATTATATTCATGCCCAAATCTCCTGCAAGATAGTGGTGGTGTGGTAATGGATATGATTTGAACCCAAGACCATCAGATGAAAGTCCAGAGTGCATATACACAACATGACCAGGCAGTCATTCATATTATTAGATTATAAAAATAATAATAATGAATAAATAAATGATTTTTTTCCCTCTTTAACGAAACTCGACCCTGGCAGTGCCAGAGAATGAATACTCTTTCATTTCTAACATAATAATAATAATAATAGTTTATTGTTGATCTCAGAATAACATACTTTAAATGATAGGTGCATCAACATTGGTAATTTCTCTAAAAAATCTTAAACACAATATTAAAAAGTGATGTCATAAAGTTTGCTCTCTAGTTCTGCTCTTTTTTTATTTACAGGCTTGCACAGAGTTGTCTACCTGGATCTAATTTAATGTAAATATAAAACTGCAATCTCAATATAAGCAAATTTGTTTAAGTGGTCTATTTTCCTAGTGCCATCAAAGCGTGGAAATGGTGGCGGAATCAGCCAGGAAAACTAATGCCTTTGTAGAGTTTAAGTCTCTAATTAATATGCATAAATAGATTAAAACATGGATACACTCCAAGAATCACCTTCTTAGTAGGTACTTCTGTAACTTAACATTTAGAATTATAGTGTTTTCTACTAGCCATCAATCATCCTGTACACTAAGCACTATTACACTATTAATGCCCTCTATTCTAAAACTTGCTTGGCAGATTAATGCCATCAATTACAAATGCCATATCTTACCAGTATGTTCTCTGGCTTCAAATCTCTGTGGACTATCGACTTATGGTGTAGGTAGGCCAGCCCATTGCAGGTTTGTAGCAGAAAGTGTGTCATAACGCTGATGGAGTCTTTCTGTCTTGACAAATTATTGCCCAGTGCACTTGGAGAATTGTCATTGTCAATACATTTGGCCTAGACAAGGTATACATGATAATATTTAACAAATATTATGTTTACTTAAATTTGGTATTAATAAAAAATAACAAATTTTATGTTATGTTGAAAAAATAGTTGCTTTTAGATAGATAAGCCTTGGCCTAGTTTGTGGCCATATTCTGTGCCAGTTTGTTATGTAATTTATTAGTTATATTTATTATATTTTTGGTCCAACAAGGTAACCAGTATCAGCAAACTATGGAGAAAGGAAATCCAATTCATGTGCTTCAAATTTAAACAACAAAATGATAATAAGGGCATCATTAAGTGAAGAATGTGTTAAAAACTGAATCATTACCTTTAAAGTAAAGGGGCAATACTCCATGATAAATAAAAGTCTCATGTCTGCTTCTGAGCCTTTGCGACACACACCATAGTATTTCACAATATTTTCATGTTCAACTTCCCTAAAAAGTTGAGATGCATCAGTGAGTATATAATAAATGGAGTATAAAATAATAATTGTATGATTAAAAGTAAAAGTTTCCCTTTCAGACCTTGCAATTTATAGGGCAGACGATGTTATGCAAATCTGTTTCTTTAACCAACAGTTAAAGAGCAGGATGTCATGTAGCCAGCACCACAACCGCCTATTTACTTTTCCAACAAAATTCAGGTACCCATTAGAGTTGGGTGGACTTAGGGGCACCTTCAAAATCCCAAAATTCAAAATCCCAGTCTTAT